AATGGGTATGGGGGTGTTCTTCCGATGCCTAGCAACTTGGTTTCTTCTCCCCATAAAAAAATTATTACATTTTGTATTTTGTTTTAAAGATATTCATATATTATTCACAAAAAAAAAAGATATTCATGTGTTCACAGTCCGACAATTAATTCTAATATTGTGCATCAAAATCATATTTGATTATATATTCTAATTACTTTTTGCTACCTTTTTTATAAATTGCATTGGCTTTTAAATAGTGAAAGTTTTAATTCTGTCCCCTCACAAAGGAAAAAAAACAAAGGACATGTGGTCATTTGATCGAAAATTTTCTAAATTTAAGAGATGAGCAAAATTACACTTTCCCTTTTCACACATGTTACACGAAATTTGCTTTTGTTATAGTTTGAAATTAAGAAATTTTATCAAAGTTTGAAATAAGTGATACACATGCATACATATGAATATATATATATATATATATATATATATATTCAGAAGAAAAGTTATTATTAGTGGATACTAGGTAACATAAATATGATAATTATTATATTAAATTCAAGAGATTATCTTATTAAAAATTATAAGTTTTATAAAAGGTGGTTCATTCTACGTTTATTATAAACATTATCATAAACTATAACATTTATACACAAAAAAACTTCAAAGTATTATACTTGTATAAAAATCACATCCTCAACTCATCATAAAAAATCATCAATTTATCTTTTTTAACAAAAATATATATTTTTTAAAAAAAAATAATTATGAAATAAATAGTTACTAGTTTGGTATAAAACAAGTGAAATTTATTATATATTAATATATTTTTATGAACATCCGTAAAAAAAATAAGAAGTCTATCATGAGTGTACATATATATATAAATGATTTTCAATTATACATTTTAAATCTAATTCATATATTTCAAAAAAAAAACTAATTGTATTGTTTAATTTAACTTTTTAAGTCATTTTCATCATAAATATAAATCAAATACAAAATAAAAATATATATAAAACGTGCAAAATAACGTTTCAGATTAAAACAAATGTTATTCGACAGTTATCTAATACTAATAAAGATAATTTTGTAAACCTTTTCGCGAACTTAGTAATAAAAAAGCCCGATATAAAACACTATAGTAATACGGCGAAGGTAGATCTAAAACGTGTGAATATTGTGGTAGTTGAAATAATAATTATAACTTAAATGTTTTCAATAAAAAAAATAAATAACCTCTATCCTAATGAAAATTTATTGAATTAAAAATGGACCGTTAACGTACACAGCTGCCTCCCAGACAGCGATAGGACGATGAGATAGATACATTTATATTATTTAATTTAACGTAAAAAATACTATATCCACTAAAATCGGAATATTCGGTGGTACAAACTTATTTATTTTAATGGGTTTTTTCTTGTTAGAGAGGGTATAAATATAAAGTTTTTCTATGGATTGAATAATGTTTTTGAATTTTTATTTAGAGTTGAAATATATAAATTAATATAATAAAAATTAAATGAGATGTTTTAAAAAGTTAAGCGTTTTTTTTTAGTTTTTCTATGTCATAATAATTTCTTTATTGTAGACAAAAATCACTTGCGGTACAAAATCTGTAAGAACAATAGGCGTAAATACATTTGAATCACTAATCCAATGGCTCCTTTCGACCAGTTTTTATTTCTATTATAACAAATATTCATCGCATTCTAAAAAAAATCTTTTTCACTATACACAAATTATCCGTTTTATTGAAATATTTTTAAAAATCCATAATAATTTTTAATTTAAATCTAGGATATGATAAATATACAAAAAAAATAGAAATTCGTAATATATCCGAACCATCTATCTTTGACTGCATTAATTGTCGTACTTTTTACCTTCTCCGAAAATATAATAAATGTCTATTTAACTTTTTTGCCACATTTACTAAATTGAGATGTTTGTCTTATAAAAATGAAAAAGTGTTTAGTATTAATGACACAGAGACATGAATGGAGTGTGTGTGTGTGTGTATATATATATAATGGAAAAAAAATCAAACATAAAAATATAATTTTCAGTTTTAAAGATAAAGAGTGATTAATTTTTCAAAAAATAATATATAATTTTTATCTTATATTTTGTTTTCTTTGCCCGACATATTAAATCTGAATAAAGATGCACAATTATTGGCGGCCCTTTTTAAAAAAAATAAAAACAAAGTTGGATTTTGCATGCATTATATTTTATCGGCTACGCTCATACAAGGCCACTAGACATTCACATTCATTGTCGTTGACCCTACATGTAAAGTAGTTACCTTATTTTAAGAATATATATATATATATATATGTTCCTACTACAGAGTGTTATAAACTTATAAACTATAGTTATTACAATTATTAGGATTTACAAACCAATTAAATAATAAAAAGAATAAGAATCAAATAAAGTTCATATATCTTTTCCGTAACATTTTACATATAGGCCCTATTATATTTATAATCATAAGTGCATGAAACAAAAATAACATGTTATTGACCCTTTTCTCTAGGCAGGCACATTGATGAATTATAACACGTCGTGAAAATATACCTTTTTAAAAATTTATTTTTCTGTAAAGCATTTTATAAATAAAAAAAATTAGAAATAATCTGACAAGAACACTGTCGCATATACGCCTGTCCCGTAATATATGTCGTCCAAGAATTATTCCCACTAGTCATTATTTTAAAATACCAATTTTGTAAAAGGCAACAAAAGAATTGTATCAAATTTCTAAGAAAAAAAAAGTTGGATATAATATATAGAGTTTCTCGATACAGAAAATGAAAAATAATATTTTTATAGACAAGTGGGCCTATAAAATTTTGAAAGTTCCACTCAAGAAAATCATGTAACCAAATTTTATTTATTTATTTATTTAGTTTATCGCCTAAATTTCGACGATAAAATCCCAGCCCCGACAGCTACCACTCTTCACGAGCACATTCATCACCATCATCTTCAACATGACAGGAAAAATGACACCTATCAAAAACTTCATAGCCAGATTCTCCGACTTCAAGAACAACAAAAAACTCATACTCCTCTCCGCCGCAACCGCCTTGCTCCTCCTCGTCGCCGTAGCCGGAATATCCGCCGGAGCCTCCGCTAAAGCCAACTCGAAACCCACCAGGACTTTGTCTCCGGCGTCCCACTCCGTCCTGAGGTCAGCTTGTAGCTCGACCATCTACCGAGATCTCTGTGTCTCCGCCGTCTCCACTGCTGCAGCAGTGACAGGTTTATATACATTTCATGAAAACAACTATATATATATATATATTGTTGGGTATTTTCATTGTCATTTTTTTTTACTTATATATTATAACAAACATTGATGTGTAAATTTGGCGACAGGACAAGAGCTAACGTCGCAGAGAGACGTGATCGAGGCGTCACTGAACATAACCAAGATCGCAGTGGAACACAACTACTTCACCGTCAAGAAACTGTTAAAGAATAGGAAAGGTTTAACGGAACGCGAGAAAACGGCGTTACACGACTGTCTGGAGACGATCGACGAGACATTGGATGAGATTCATGAAGCGGTGGAGGATCTCAACGGATACCCTAACGAGAAGAAATCTCTCCGACAGCACGCAGATGATCTCAAAACCCTAATCAGCTCCGCCATTACCAACCAAGAGACCTGTCTCGATGGCTTCTCTCACGACAAAGCCGACAAGAAAGTCCGCAAGGCCTTGGAGAAAGGCCAGGTAGCATACATTACATACATACATACATACATACATACATACATACATACATACATACATTAAATTAAAATCCACTTTATTCGTTCTTATTCGTTAGATTTAGAGGAAAAAATCTAATGAAAAATATTAAATATTTACGTGAATACGTTAACACTTCTCTGCATTTGATTCCCGTGACGACGTTTTGTCATTCGGACAGTACATATGCACATGCGGTTGGTCACTGTAAATTATTAAACATTAATATATATGTATATATATATATATATAAAACAGGAAAATCCCATATTTTTTCAAATCTCACACATGGATAGGTTCACATAGGCATCGTTGTTGGAGTTGATAATGTTATTTTGTACGGCACAAAAATGAACATCCGCTAAAATTATTGTTAAGCGCCGTTAATTAGGGGGCGTGACGGATAGACTTTGAATGTTAATAATTAATACTATTAAATACAACTCATCAGTTAGTGTAACAATAATATTATGTCGGAAAAAAGAACAAAATATATGACCACAACATTAAAATCATTATTTCAAATCATACGGTCAAAATAGGTACACGTAGAGCACATGTGCAGCAACGCACTAGCGATGATCAAGAACATGACCGACACCGACATCGCCAGCTTCGAGCTCAAGTCCAACAACCACCACCGCAAGCTCATGGAGGAGACGGTGGCGGCGGCGGCGGTTGTCTCCGGCGATGGGTGGCCGGAGTGGATATCCGCCGGCGACAGGAGGTTGCTACAGGCGACGACGGTGAAGGCCGACGCCACGGTGG